TTGCTTCCATCCCCTCGCTCTTTTCAGCCGGAACCGTCTTGCTTCCGCTGATTCATGTAGGCCAAGTGATGATCGATCCGAGAGATCCGATAGATCGGACTGTACATTTCTTCAAAATGTAATTTAAAAAACACTATAGTTTCTATACAGATAGTTGAATTTCTTGTTTTATTAAATATAGATTATGCTATAACAGATAAACTAATTAATAGGTGACAGAAAGTGATAGAAAATTTATTTTCATTACGCTTTAAAAAAATAATAATAACAAAAAATTAAAAAGGAAAAGTGAATAGTAAATTTAAGATTATAATATAATTCGTAATATTTCGACCAATCGACCGTATCTCCACACCCGATTTAAGGTATCGAACACAAAAGTGATCAACTGAACAGAAATCTACGAATGACAGACCACCTGGTCACTGGTCAGGCGTTGCTCGCCAGTTTTATTCACAGTTCAACTGTTCTTGAAATAGTGCCTTGAGAGAGCCACGATTAATATATCCGGTTGTACAAAGTACTAGGCGTTTTATTTGTGAACTTTATTATTTGTAGTGGAAGATTTATTTGTCTGGAGGCAATTAGAATATTGATTTCCTTTTCAGAAAAGTTTGACCTTTCCGCTAAATCATCAAAGTTCTAAAATTTTAACATTAAACAAATTTTAAAAGTAAATAAGTTGTTGCCTCAAAGAGAGGCCAAACTGTCGGGACCATCGTCTCAAAATCTATTTTGTTTAATACAACCAACACTTTGTTCTTTTGTTTTTCATAGTTTACTACAATTATTACCATTTTGTAGCTAAAGGATTTTAAAAACTTATCAACAAAAAACAATAAAATAAAATTAATGTTTTAATGGAGCATCCTCAGTTTTTCGGAAGAACAGGTGATTTTTTGCCAATTCTTTTGTTTACCACCACTTTCATTCAATGGATATTAATTTTGATAAACATTTCCTTTTCTTTACAGTACACATTTTCTGTTTAAGTTTACAAATTTTTTAAAATTTTAGCTGATTTTCTTTTTCTTTTTCTTAGTATACTGCGAATTCTTAGCTATTGGTTTTTAAAAAATAGTGAATAGTTATTTTTTGGTAATAAGGTAAAATTATGACAAATTTCACCTATTTTTTTTTTTTTAATTATTTCTTCAATTTTGGATGTTTGTTTTTAAAAAACCACTCACACCTCTTTGCCTAAATAAAATACCACTTTTCAGGTGAAAAGATTTTCTGATCCATTTTCGGATATTTTCAAAATAGTCGATTATACCAGTCTATTTTTATTTTATACATTTTAATATTCTGCAAATTCTTAGCTAAAGGGTTTTTCAAAAAAGAACACACACGCACAAAAATAAAATAAAATGCAAGTTTAAGAGGTTGCGACGGTTTGTCGGACAAGCTGATGGTTTTTGCCTAGTGTTTTGATTAATATCACTTCTCCTAGTTTTGCTACGCATCCTTTTTTTCATAAAAATCAGTCTTTTTTCTTTAAATATAACATTTTAGCGTATTTTGGCAATTTTTTAAGGTACTTGCTCAAAGGTAGATAAAAATGTTGCCATTTTTCAGTAAGATTTTTTGAAATTTATTTGATGTTTTACAACCAATCTATTTTTGTTTTATTTTTCTTAGCACACTAAGAATTCCTAGCTAAAGGGTAAAAATAACGGATCGTTAAGTTTTGGCAACAAACTCAATTTAGCTTTAAAAAGCAAACTAACTTTTTTTATGCAAGAACTTCTCCAATCCTGTAAGTTTTTACAAACCTTTCTATGATTATGTGCCTATTATTGCTCTTTTAAATTGAATCAAGAATGATTTTAATCTGACAAAGGGTTAATGAGAAAAGTAACCAAAAGTGAAAAAGTACAATTTTTCAGAAAAACGGTTTTCTTGTAATTTTTTTAAAATTTTTTCATCTAGCTGCTTTCACTTTTTGACATTAATGTGGTAATATATAGACAAACACATAAATATCATGCATAAAAAATTCACATTCATTCATTCGGCAATTCACGCATACCAATAAAAAAGAAAATAACGAAAAACAGAGACTAAAGGGGCAACAATTTTCTACGTTCCATTAATAAAGATGTGTAAATATAATTTATTTAATATATAGTCTAGAATCTCAACCGTTTTTTAACGGGGGTTTGCAAAACCTGAAAGTCATACAACCTCGCAGTTCTGGTGTTTTTGAAGAACCTAAGAATTTCTTACGTAGTTTTAATACTATTTTGTCATTTATTGACATGGTGAAATTATTTGAAAAGTGATAATAGTCAGGAATTTAATGCATTGTTTTTTTTCTTTGTGCAGGTAAAGACCTACTGCAGTGCTGAAAATTCCCTGCCAAGAAATTCTAGGTAACTATGAACAAAAAAAGAATATCATGTACAATATATGACATCATTGACGGTTCTTCACGTTTTGCGATCATACCGAAAACTTGGGGTGACACAGAAATAGTCCGGACGAGAAATAGTGGCAGCTATTTCGGGACACAAGGTCATTAGGCCATCGATACCTAACTGGAGATTTTTATTGACATCCGCAACTGTTGATGGTACGATATAGAGTAAAGTACATAAAGGTCAGAGCGATGCTGATTTGTCCCCCTTAAACCGAAAATTTCCCTCTTTATCGTTTTATTATTATTATTATTATTACGTCTTGTTACTTGCATTTAGATATAAATAATCATAGTAGTGAATTTTTTTTTTACATTCATCGACAGTTTTTTTTATCTTTAGTATCAGGTAGCACTATGACAGTTTCATGTCATTTTGTCAAGGTCAGTTTTTTATTTTTATGTGGCATTCAATAGGCGAGTCATCCCCAAATTAGAAAACTTCCATATGATTTATAGCATCAGGTTGAATTCATTTAAATGAATAAAACGGCCGGACCTGTGCTACCCCATGGCTAACATTTTCCATTGAAGCCTTTCCATAGAAAACCTTGACATGATTATTTCGAACCTCTTTCACACTATATAATGCTAAAATATAGAGTGTATTATTTATTATAAATTGTTGAATTTATATTGTTATTTTAATATCGACAGACATTTTTATCAGAGTGTTTGTAATGATGCTGAAAACTGTCTGATCTTCTCGATAAAAATTATCGCCCATTCTTTGCATAATTAATTTTTTTTATATTGACTTTTTTTTAAATTATTGCAAGTCCTGGTTGGGTTTTTCAGTCTAGCTCACGTAAAAAACATGTCATTTTATCAAAAATTATGTCGTAAAGTTATGAAAGGAGAAAAGGTCATTCCAATTGAATATAATTGCCGTATAAAATTCAAAAACATAGGATTACTTAATGCATATTTTGCAAGTAGGAAATAAATTCACAAATATGACAGTTGATCAACCGAGTTGATCGATTAATTAATTTATCGACGATGGTTTGTGGCAAGACCAACCAGGAAAATGATATAGATTATGCGCAAACAATATCCACACGCGAAAAATATTTATGTAGATACTATATTCAAGGAATAAAAATGTCACGTCGAAATCGATTTTTGGTCAAGTTAAATGGTAATAATTAATGGAGGACGAGTACGGAAGGTATTAATTAAACAGGTGTAAAGTTAAGGAGGTTGGAAAATGATCAGGGTAAGAATCGCTTGATGATAGAATAATCACATTATTACTTTTTTTTTAAATTAAATATTATACACTATACATTCACGGTAATAAAAAGATTCAGTCTCAATGTACACACAGTGGAACACAAAATGAGATGTCTAGTAGTCATAACCATATTCAGTCCTAAAGCTACGAAAAGAGAAAAAATTCCACTCGGAAATGACCTAATTTCCAAATGAGGATGTACATACATGAAATGACAGAGGAACAAAAGCTGTTTTGAAGAATTAATTGAATTATGAATGATGTTTGTTATACAACCTATGAAAATTATATTAGTGCTTAGGAAAGGCCTACCCAATAAATTTCCCTGTATGTATTATTATACTAAAGAAATTTAAAAAAATCCTTTCGAGATCTGGTTCGTGCAAGTTGGTAGGGAAATAATAAAGTTTACGGAAGATGGAAGGTAATTAAGCATCGTGTAAAGTAAATGAGGTTGGAGTTTCGCATGGTGGTTGAATAATACATTTAATTTTTTACTAAATATTACATACTACACTTTCACGCTAATAAATACATTCCGTCTCAATAAGCACCCAATTGTACACAAAACGAAATATTTATTAGTATTATATACAGACATAAAGCTATGAAAGGGGAAAAGGCTAGAAATGAATACAATTACTGCATAAAATTCAAAAACATACATTAATTAATGTATATTTCCAAAGGAGAAAACACATGCAAAAATATGAGGAGGAAGAAAATCTAGTTTATAATTAATTAATTTATGAACGATGTTTATTAGATGACCTACAAAAATGATATTGATTAAAAAAAAACTCAAAAAATATCCATGTATGTATTATATATATATTAAAAGGAATAATAGAATGTACTTCTAAATCGATTTTCGGTCAAGTTTAAATGGTAATAGAGGAAGAGTACGGAAGGTGGAAGATAATTAAACAGGTGTAAAATGAAGGAGGTTGGAAAATGATCGGAGTAAAAGTCGCTTGGTGGTAGAATAAAGGGATTGTCTGTGAGATGGCCGACAGTAAATAGTGTATGGGAGGGTATTCATTGAATTAGGAGAGAGGAAGGCGGGTTTGGGGGCGGCGAAAAGGAAGGAGATAGATAGACGAGGAAGCGATAGAGCAGAGGGGTCCGCGTCCAATGGGAAGTGAAAGAAATAGCGCAGGATCTCTGAGTAGTGGGGGCCTGTACAATGCGCCTGCGGCTTCTGTTTTGTTGCATACTGCTTCTGCCAGTCTGTTGAAGGAAAGAGTCGCAAGAGGATCGAACCGTCTGACAGGGCTCCGTCACATTACTTAGGCTCCTGGACACGACATGACTTCAGCGTCTTTCTTCAAGGTAAACATTTATTTTTACACCGTTACATCGATTAACAACCCTCAGGGCTGGGATATGCCCTAGAAACGAGTGTCCTGTTTTTCCACAGACTATTGTAATATACACAAATATTAAATGTCGACCTGTATACTGTCGGGTGTGTAAAAACCGCGTGACTTTTGACTGTGACAGGAGACTGACGACTTTTCAGACGATAAAGCGACAAATGACACTGGCAAACAAGGGATTAAGACGTTCGAAAAGACAACGGTTGTGATGTGTCATAACAAAACCAAAAACCCTTTGGGGTAAGGTAGCCTGGTTCATCGTTATATCAAAAAGCGCAGTCCTTTCCCGTCGAATAGTACGACGCACTGTTTTTACAAAACAAACAATTGTAGTAACATCTAAAAGACGATAATAATGAATATAATATGGTTACTTTTAATGGTAACTGTGTTGCACAGGGTTTGGACAGGTAAAGTTAGAAGGCGGGAGAGCGAGGACTATGGATGTAGACAAAGGTTATTTGTTTTCCTCTGCGTTTTCCATATCGGTCAGACCCTCGATGATATGCAGTTAGAGAGTGAGAAGGAGAGAGGAAAGACTTTGCCGGAAATCTTCTAAGTTAGGCGGACACATGGATCGCACGTGTCCGCCGACGGTCGTCCGTGTGTCGCGCGTTCGTGAGTGTTTCGCTCGTTGTGATCTTCACGATTGTGTTTGCCTTCGGTGTGGTTTAATCGTACGGGAAATATTTTCCCCGGCTAAACGGAACGCATCAAGGTAAGAAGGCTGATACGATTAACATTGGTTATTTGTTTTTGTAACGTGTGTTTGTGTGTGGTTTGCCTTTTTCACCTCCCTTGGGACAGCATAACACTGTAGAGCGCTGAACCAAAGCGGGGCACGCTACTTATACCGGGGAAGACGTGCCACCCGCTTATTTTTCATTCAATCGACCCTGACTCATTTGTGAGAATGCAATTAAATTATCTCTTTTTTTCTTCTTCTTTTTTTTGGAGGGGGGGGGAGGACGAGCCGAATGAAAGGAGTGTCCTTTGTTTTCCTGATATTTTTATGGCGTTTGATTAGACACCGGCTTTGCGAACACGAAGGTCACAATGTTCTTTTTCCCTATTATTCAAAATACAGGGAATTTATGCCCAAAGAATTATTATTCGTACACAGTGCCTCTGATTAAATATTGTAATGTTCATTCAGCTTAATTGGTAGTCATTCTTTTAGTGAGGGCGAGATGGGAAAATTAAAAAATCCCTTTTAACAAACACATCGCGACTGTTTTTAATTATACTGACAATTTTACTTCTCTGAAGCAATTAAAATCCTCAGATTAGAAGCTCTTCTGGCTCTTTTCACTTTAAAAACCGTCCATCGGTCGAAACAAAAGAGGCTCCCTCTCCTTTTATTAACTCCCCTCCAATTAAAAACAATTCTAAAAACTAATAAACCCGTTCTGAACATTAATAAAAAAAATCTTCTCACCCACGTACAAAGCAAATAACGTTAGCAGGTTAGTTGTTATAAAATGCTGACTTCTTTCCAAATACGCCCGAGAGTGTTTCTTGACAAAGGAAGGTCTGTCATTTTTTCCCCGGCACCGGTGCCCTTCTTAGGTTTAGGGGTGGTTTTTGTTTCGGAGGGAGTAACACATGTGGCTACCATTACTGGAGACAGGAGAAATGCATCTGCTTTGGATGCTTTGGAATGAAGGGAAAAGGTATTGTAACGTTCTCCGACTGCCATCCGTCCGGGAAAAGAGACGAAATCTACGCTAAATTCGAAACGTGCGGACCTGTTGAAAATAAAGACATTAATAACAACACCCTCTGCAGTCGTTAAAGAACAATTTGTTTATTATGTACATTGTATGCGAATAGGTTTTCAATAGACAAGAAAATACCGGCAACGCCTCCGTACCGACGATGTAAACATTTCAAACAATACAACTCAATCCTAAAACATTTTTCTTCCCAAAAGAACAATGTTCTAGAGGCAAAGTGTAACATTAAATATGAATAAATAATTTTCAAACCAATTTTAACTAAAAACATATAAAAATTCCACATAAGTTTAATATTCTAAAATCATAATTTTAATTTAGTAATACTGAGTATTGAGCTTGAAAATTATTTGAATGAATTTGTTGTAGGAAGCATAGAAAAAAAGCTATGCGCTCTGGCCTAACTATGATATTTTGCTGAAAATATACAGTGAGGATTGATAAGAAAATCGATCTGAAAATCCAGTACTTAAAGGGCAGACTGGACTAAAAACTTAAAATAAATATTTTGTTTTGATCCACTAATTCTATTAGCTATTCTTCATCTAATGGTATTTCCTAAAATAATCCTGAGAAATTGAAGTATTTTCAAAGAAATTATTGAGTCAAATTATTATATTCTTTACGAATAAAGTGAGTACCGACATTTTGTTCATTTTTTAGTTCTATTTTGGTTTGTTTCATTTTTTCCAAAAATTCTTTAGGCTTTTCTGCAGCTAATGGCATCTTCAAAAAGCGATTCGGAGCGCATAGTATTTTTTAATTATTGAAATTAGCATTCGTAATTTTGAATGGAATGAGGTAATCTTTCCAATCTTAATGATTTTATCTTAAGAAATTTATTAATTTAATAGGTATTAATAATTACTTATTAATTTAATAGATAATGGGTAATAGGTAATAGGTATAATTTAATAGGTAAAGATTACCTATTGATTTTATCTTGATAAAGAGTATCAACATGTTGGTCATTTTTTATCATTTTTGTTATCTGTATTGGTTTGTTAAATTTTTTCTACAAATTCTTTAGGTTTTCCTGCATCGAACGTATTTTTAAAAAGCAATTTGGCGCATTATATTATTTTGTTAAACTATTGAAGTTAGCTTCGAATAAAGTGAGTAAATAGAGTGTATAGTATATAGTAGAGTAGTGAGTAAAATTAATTTTTTGTTCTGTTGTGGTTGTTTAATTTTGCTGCAATTCTTTCGGGTTTTATGCATCTGGTGGCATCATCAAAAAATATTGCGGTGCGTGGATGATTTTTTTAAATTATTGAAGTTAGCATCATAGCTTTGGATAGAGTGAGTATAAACGTTATGGTAATTTTTTGGTATTGTGTTGGTTTATTTCATTTTTCCACAAACCCTCGCGGCGTTCTTGCATCTAAATGCTTTTTCCAAATGCAATTCGGAGCACAGTATTTTTTTTTTTTTAATCGAAGTTAGCATTCCTAGCTTTGGATGAAATGAGTATAGAGAACCAACATTTTGGTCATTTTGTTATTAATTTTACTTCTGTCTTTATCTGTTGTCTACCATGTAATTGATAGTTTAGTTAATGTCTTAACCATCGAAGAGTTCCATAGAAATTTAAAGCGCGTAACTTTTTCAGTTTCTTGCCTATCCTGAAAAATTACATTTTCACTTTTCACACATAAACGTGCACTTTTCTCATAATGTTATCAACCTACATTAACAATTAAATTTTATAATCATTAATTAGACAATTTAGAATAGTGATGGCTAAGGAATTGTAAATATAATGTAGTTTATAAAAAATGTTAAGAAAGTTTAAAAAAAATAAGTAAGAAAACATTGACTAATTTTTATATAAATTTCAATTTTTTGTCAAATTAAAACTAATTACTTCAGAAAAATTTCGTTTACTGTCCGTCATACATTACAAACACACGTATGAAATTGTTATTCAAATTTATTGAACGGTTTTAGAAAGAAATGCACAAATGTGAAGGGTTTTTCTTATATTATAGATAATGTTGGTCGAGTCTGCCCTGGAGAATGGTTTTAATGAAACATCATTTATGCTAGTTTCTGAACCGCTGAGAGTGTACACCAGGCCGGACCTCCTCAGAACCCTAGGGGCTAGGGGGAAAAACAAAACAAAAACAAGCAGACACCAAATCACAAGTTCCTACGAGCAACATTGAAACCCAACGCGAAGTTTTCATTTTTTATTATTCGATTTAACGTAATTTTCACCCTACATTAACCCTTAATGGCCTATTGCCTTAAAAGATTTGCAGCATATTCCGAGAGTTTAGTAATAGAGTCGACATTTTGGTTTTATTTTAGCCCCAAATAAAACAGTGTTGCCAATACAAGGGCCGAAAAAGAGCAGGGACAATATTGCGATCGCCTTAAACTCACGGAATTTTTTGCTAACCTCAAACAAAATTGCTAAAGATAGCATGATTCTAAGCAACTTTGTGCAATAATGGATTAATTTATAAAGTGAATATGAAGAACTATATACTTGGTAAATATAACAATCGATACAAGATTCGAAGATGGAGTGTTTATATTGGTGGCAAAAAAAAAAATCAGTTTTTCCAATACACGGAATGCAATGTTGATGGGAAAACACTGCACCCGCCCTAAACTCTTGGGATTAGCTAACCTTTAGCAAATTTGTTAAACGTTAGACAAGAAAGTGTTAAAATTTCTTGTTTATGAAACACTCACGTGGATTAATCCAGAGGATGACACATTGAGAATTAAATACCACGTCTAGACAGGTTTTTGTTATTCACACTAAAATCTTAGGCATTAAAATACAAATCAAACTTTTAACAACATTTGTACTTGTAAATATTAATAGATAGGTTTAAAGACGAGAAAATAATATAAAACCGACGTTTTTGATGGTAGGTCATCACGTAAAGGGCTAATTTCTGTAGTATCTTCAACATCGCTTTTTCTTTGATGATTCTACCCTTTTTTATTAATTTTTCAATTTAAACCACGTTCGTTTTTATGTATGTTTGAGGTAAATTGGCGAACGCCGATCGGAATCTTGTCACGAACGCCCTTCTTATTTGATATACATAAAGATCCGATCAATTAAAATTTGGAATTTGAGATACATAATCAAAATACTTACAGATTCACTATTAACTTTTGTATATTCTTTCTTTCTATATAAAAAATAAAACATTAATTAAACTAAAGACAAAATATTTGAAACATAAAACCATTAAGCTATTTACTTCCCTAATAAAACTTCTGGATTACATATTTCTCTTTTCGTGTTTCATACTACTCATTCCTAATTGTTGAGACTTTGATCAAAATTACACCTTTTCTCGCTAGTGATTTTGATTTGGTCGTTATCGAGCGTTTTGGCCAGATAGAAACAAGTAGGATGTCAAACTGATCGGCACTAAAATTGTGAGTGTTGTGATTTCACTCTTAATGCAATGCTTACATTTTCAGTGAAAAAATAACTAGATATCAAGCATTTTGTAAATAAGGTGGTACAATATATGGAACTGAGACAAAGAACTGAAGCATCGAGATTTCCGAGGGAATATCAAGGGTGTTTCTCAAAAAAATAAATAAATAAATGCTTTAAAGTTAATCTAATTTCTACTTTTCAACTTTTTGCCAGTTTAAGAATAGTTACGCAATTAAAAGAAGTTACGTGTACGAAACGGAAGTGATATGACAATGGAGAACAATGAGAAGGGGGAGGAAAAAAGAGGAAACTTGTATTATTTACAATCTACTTGACTCTTATGAAAAGGAACAAAATATCCCTAGTCGATATACATTGGAAGAACATTAAGTGGGCATCGGGACGGAAGAGTAGACAGAAGAGGGATAGAGCGAACCTACTCATTCCGGATTGTCCCTCAAAACGGAAACTATAAAAAAAAGAAGGATGCCGAATCCTCTCTGAGTCGATATATCAGGGGTTGTCTTTCCACGGTTGTGAAAAGGCCGCCAAACCAACAGTTTACTC